TTATTTTCAAAGTTTATAAAATTCATCATTTACTGCATTTAAAGCTTTAATATTAAACTTAATGTGCAACACAAACTAAAGAAAAATCTTTTGTAATTTGTTCACAAAATTAAATTAGTTTCTTTAAAAAGATACAAGTCTGTATCTGATGACAAAATATAAATAAACCACACAGTACATATTTTATTAAATAAGGTGACAGTTAGAGATATGATCTGATAAAAAGTTATACTATGGATCAATATAGATATATGAGAGAAAAGCTGATGACTTGCAATTCTTTGTGCTTATCATGGTTACCATGGAAATTACAGCTTTGGACTAATTAGCTTATGTCATAAGTGATCCTACTTGACAGCAATCAATACAACAGTTGTCATATTAAATCATTGCTTCATGTTAACATCATGTAGTTCTTGAATGTCGATTTTGATCAGGTTTTTTTTATTTTGGTTGAGTTTTTCAATAATTTTCTTTTTGAACCAAGTAGACCTGACCATTTATTGGATAAATAAGGTCTAGACAAAATAAAAAAAAAAAATCTGTATTTTTGGCGACAAAATTAGACTTTGACAATTAAAGGGTTAAAATGCCTGTAAAAATAAATAAACCTGATGTGTAACTATTGTAACCATGGTGATAATCACAAACATGACACAAACTGTGCCATTACACGATTACTGTAAGATGTCAACTGAACTGGACTGAACTTTATGTCAATCAAATGTCCAACAATATTTCGTTACTGAGAATATCGATCCAAGCACTACCCAGCAGAGTTACGAACAAATGCAAGATATACCAGATAATCCAAGCATTACTCAGCAAATTACCAAATGCAAGGTGTGCCAAGTTATACTGGTCATTATCACACAAATTATTTTGTTTTTTGTTGTAAAACTGACAAGTATAAAGATTTCCATATTTGCTCCGACAATACTATATTGTGCTTACATAAATTACAGAGTTGTTTCTTGTCAACCACGAGAAAGTGGCCTGTAACATGAGTTATGATTGGTTGCTGATCTCATGAGAACTAACATGGCATTGTCATTTGATGTCCACACCGACAAAAAAATTAAAAGCATCTGGCCTTAACCTCACCCAACATCTGTTTACATTACATTGCGTTTTAATTCTTTTTTTAGAGAGAAACAAAATGGCGGGTTTGATGACCTACTCAGACGAAAATCAGGTTTACTGAGAAAACAGTGATATTCAATAACAAACTGGAGACAAAGGAAACTAGTCTGAATCGTAAAAAGCTGTTCTATATACAAGCAAGTCTGGTTAGAACAAATTAGACAAAATGCTTTTATTTGCTTTCCAGTTACACCGTGTTAGGATTGAACAGGTTTTACTGTTCACAAACCTGACAAAACATTCAACAAATAAATCAGCACATCTATGTTGCCCGGCTTGTCTTGTATAATTTACAGTTGAATTCATTGTATTTTTTTAATATGGCTTTGCAGTAT